CTTGCAGGTTACATTAATTGGAAACTCTACATTGGCCGTAGGCATGAATGTAAATGGTTATTATGCTTTATGTGATTGGAACCTGGCAACTTCTCACTCAATGTCACGTGGTGCTTCATTTCCATCTCAGTTTAAATGAATTGGTATCCCATGATTGTTGGGAACTCCTGTTGTTCAAACATCAACACATAGACTGAAGCGTAGACGGATGTGAATCTCTTTGTGATGGTCAGTGACAGTGATATACGTGCCAGTAGCTCCAGTAGCTCTCTCTGTACCTGGATAATGTCTGTCACTGCTGAAGGACTCAGTAAGTGATGTCTGTCTCGTCCTGTGCTGCTGCAGTACCCACACTGACTGTAAGTGACTTTCTGAGGTCAGCTGTCACCAGTGAGTTAAGATGTTGTCTATTAAACATGAGACTGATTCTCAAAAATAAGTGTTTGGAATAGGAAGTAAAGCTATTTCAGGATCGATCCACAAACCACTCGCATATAAGAAGCATGCTTACAGTTGTAGTAGTCTGTAATAGTAGCAGTCGTAGTAGCAGTAGTAGTTATTGGTGTTTTTGTTGTAGTAGTAATTGATATGGTACAATGCTTTTTCTATATTCAGTACAGATATCTGCATCTTCATTTTGATTATAATTCCAGTTTCAGATATTAACAGATATCTTTGATTCGCCTCAGTTCAAGATACCTTTAAATTAAGTTTGATGGTGTAGATATCATGAACCCGGCCTCCCCAGGCCTGGATCGGGTGTACAGCCTCCAAAATGTTCTTAGTACTTAAACAAACCTTTTACTCCTCATTGGCTCTGCCTCTGCTGTATCGTAGTGTTTGCCTCCACCATTTTTCAAATATTAACTCCAGAGATGAGACGGCATTGTCACGTTAGCTACACCTCCTTACCACGCCATTGACTCTCTTACCACCTCAGGAGTTGCCACAGTGTGTGCTGTGCGTCATATCATTGACCCAACTAATCAATGGTGAAATTTGTTGCAGACTATTTTTAAAATCAATGTTTATCGATTTAATCAATTACTTATCAGAGCCCTAGAAAGAGCATGGGATGTTATTATACTATGTTGTTGTACTATACAACCAAGGTCTCACTTGGACTAGGAACAGGAAACATGAACAGTAAGCAGTGTGAACATCCTGTGGTTTGCAGTAACACACGTGCACTGGTGTGACTCATGGTCATATTATCGTATCATAGAAAGTCTTTATGGTAGAAGTTATAGCTCATTAGTAGATTCTGCTGCGAGAAAGTACTGCAGCCTAATAACTTAACCTAATAACTCCATTTTAACATCAGTTTGTTCATCACATAAACCACTGTTGACTTCTTTATCATTTCAAATGCTGCTGTCCTCCTGAGTTTATCGTTCACAGCCCACTGTCCATAATACAGAGGAACACTCTAACTGAAATAAACTTATTGCTCATAAATCATATTGGGGCAGCTGTGCCATCACATCCTAATAGACATTTCCTGGTAATTCACCAGAGGGCAGTCTTGCCACACTGAAAACAACAGATCCTTCCTGTCAGACTAAACCCATTAATTAAATAAACTATCCAGTCCTTTTCAAGGAAACGTATCACTCTTACAGTGGGAGAGTAAAATAGCCAGTGATTTACAGTGTTAATGGACAATAACATGAGAGTGAAATTGTGAAATTCATAATTTCTTTAACATTCATATTTTTGGTGTCTCCTGGTATTTTACTTGTAACTCAAACCTTTGTAGAAGAAGGAATTACCAGGGAATTAAATGATCACACAGGAAGGTGCACATTTGATAAAAATGCAATGTTTTTTTAATGTGAACACGTTTGAGTGACTTGCATCCATAAAGTCAATACATCCCTCTGTGTATTGTGGAGGCATTTATAAAACACTCAGGTTGTTGTGCTGCTGCAGTTTCCTGGTGCTGTGAGAGATGCCTGGAGCAAGTGAGGGTGAAATCACAGAGCGGTTGTGTTTTCACTGGCATTGCTTTTAATACCTCAGCACCCAAAATACAACTTGCTGTAAACAGCACCGGGGTTGAGGAGGTTACAGGGAGAACTTAAAGAGATGCTTTTACTTTCTGTTCAGTCTGAAGACAGAACAAGAATTTCTTCAGGTTAATCCATGAAAGCAAAACATATCGATCTCGTAATAACAATAATTTCCTTCATTCGCCCAAAAAGTATTATTATAATCATTATAATTGTTATTAATTTAGGTGCTGGTGCTGTAAAGTCCATTAAAAAAGTATGTATGTATTCAAATATCAGACCAGCAGCTGATTATGTTGTGAATACAAGACATAACATATTCGCTATATATAGTACTCTATGTAATGCTCTATGTATAGTTATAATGAAGTGAACAATAGAATGGAAAGTACTGTCTTTACAACACAATACAACAAAATGCTCCTTAAAACAACATCTTCCAAAGTGATGGTGTTGATTCGGCAGCTCTGACAACAATGTCAGCACAAACTGACATTATAACTCTGAGGATGTACCTAATAAAGTGCCAGCCCAGTGTACTTCAAAGTGGGGTGGGTCTGTTAAGAGAATTCTGCCAATTTGACACAAAACTTATCCTCGAGTTAATGCTGACGAAGAACTTCCTCTTATCTATTAACTCGATTGATAAGAAGAAGATGATTGGCTTTAAAGCTCCTGATTGCCACATTAAAGTAAAACATAATGTCAGCACTACCTCGGTTACAATTAATGAAGAATTATTTAATGCCACACCCCACCCCCCCCATCCACAGATGATGATCTGAACCCCACCCCCCCGAATAAGATGCTGGTCAACACATGACTCTGCTCTTTGCTAAGCTTTCACACGTTGAACTGATCTTTATAAAAACGTGCTGAATTCATATTTATGTTCCTGGATGCTGCTGCTATAAGGTGTGTGTGTGCGTGCGTGTGTGTGTGTTCGTCTCTGTTGCAGAAACTGACTATCACATTTATTTAGTCATTAATCGATGG